ACTACTCAACATCCATCTGGTATGAGTACAACAGATCGAGCTGTTTTTCGACTCTCGAGATCAGCATGTGCTTGCGCTGCCTGAGATAAAGGGTATGTATGATTTACATGAACTTTCAGAAAACCCGATGCAACATTGGCAAATACCTCTCCTGCAGCTTCCAGGAATTCGTCCCGAGTCACAGTGTAATGCTTCAGGGTAGGCCTTGTCAAGAACAGAGATTTTGCTGCAATAGCTGACAAAGGCACTGGGTCTGGTGTACCAGATGACTGACCAAAACTCACCATGCATCCACGAAGCTTTAAACAAGCCAATGATCCCTAATCACAAAATTCCCGGTTATAGAGTATGTTAGGCAAAGCTTAGAAAGAAGTAACAGTAAATTATAAGGTTCTGTTTTGCCAAGAGAATTTTAGTAAGCTTGGCCAAACATGCTGTCAGTAAATACAATTAAATACCTAGTAAGCGTACCATATACCAATATACCATCAAACTAAACAAAGGCTTCCAAAGCAAATTTATACGCTCTAAATTACCAAATAGGGACACACAACATTCTGTCACTGCATTCATTCTTTTGTTTGATTGTCATTTACTTATTTATAACTGTCTGTCTCAATTTAACTTAAAGTGATATCATTACCTCGAAAGTGTCTTTTCCAACAGAATCATATACAACTTCAACTCCTTTGCCTGAAGTTATCTCGTTGACACGGGTAACGAAATCTTCTTCTTTGTATATTATGACATGGTGACAACCATCATCTTTGGCTTGGGCTGCCTTCTCTTTAGTCGAGACAGTTCCAATAACCGTTGCACCAAGGGCATTCGCCCATTGGCACAATAGAGATCCAGTTCCACCTGCTGCTGCATGAATAAGGATAGTGTGTCCTGGTTCAACCTGTACAATATAAACAACATAATGGAGATGTGGAGCAGGATAAAACTGCAACATGAGAAGAGGTGATCAACATCACTAGCGATTCAATTCCTAATGTGCGTAGTGTATATTTAGTGCACGTTTGGCAAAGCTTCAATTTTAATTAAGTTGGTCAAACTTACATTTTACACACTAATTCTGTAGGACACAACTTATAAGCACTTAAAAGCTCCATCTTTAAGCAGAAGATTGTGCTTCTACTTTATCCTCAGAAGCTGAATCAGAAAACAGTCTCTGCTGCAGAAATCATCTTATTGAACTATAAGTTGAACTAAGGCCAAGGCCTCAAGTAATAACAGGGTTCGAGCCTCCATTGGATGGAAGGGGTGAAATCCTTTGATCCCCTTTAAAATAAAAAATAAAAAATAAATAAAAACTATAAGTTGAACTATGATGGAGAACTGGTCTATACATCAGAACTTTATAGATCCAAGTGTGCGCATAAAAATTGCAGCCTTGCAAAAATACCTAGCTAGGATAATAATGATATCGATTATATGATTTAACAGGCCGACCATGACAATGGCTATAATGTAACAGGCCCATAGATTTAAGGGAAATTGAAGCATTGGTTCCCAACTTATTGAAGCAGTTGCAAACTAGTCCCCTACTGTTTTGGCATTTAAATCCCAAACTATTTTTTCCGTAGCACCGTGGTCCCAATAATGGCAACCGTCCATATAACTATGAAATACACGAGTCTCATGTGCCACATTTCTTAAGGGTAAAAACGGATAAACACGTGATTTGAAATTTTGAATTTAGAATAAACAGAAAATCAATTGGAAAGAAAAAGGACAACTAACACCACCACACTTCAACCCAGCCAATGCAACCTGCACAACTACTCTACATGGGGGACCAAGCAATCATCATCACCGTCTTCAGGCAGCCAATTCAAATATCACGACCAGGCAACCAATGCCACCACCACTATCCAAGTTCCCATGTCCCCAGCCCCAGCCCAAGCCCCACCGTGTACATGTCCATGTCCATGTCCATTCCCAATCCCAGCTCATTAATTCCTCTATCATAACTCTTAAGTTCCTCACCGTCTTCAGGCAGCCAATTCAAACATCATGACCAGGCAACCAATGCCACCACCACTATCCAAGTTCCCATGTCCCCTGCCCCAGCCCAAGCCCCACCGTGTACATGTCCATGTCCATTCCCAATCCCAACTCATTAATTCATCTATCATAACTCTTAAGTTCCTCCCCCACCCCCAAACCCTCTTCTTCTATGATTTTTGGCTCCCCACACCACTACTCATCACCTCTAGCAGCTGTACCCCTTCTTCCTATTCCAACCTAATATCAATAAACAAAATAATCCAGTAATGGTCCATCCTCCAATTTTTTTGATTAATTAACACAAACATGCATTTTAAAGCCATTGACACTATATGCATTCACTTCATGGTTGGTTGTACAGATGCATTTAATGTAAATCTGGTTTTGGT